GCTGGTTAATCCTATCTGTGTTGATCAGAAACTCCTCTTATAGACAAGGGTAGAAAATTATGATGATGATGATCATTATCTTTTAAGCAGCATGACAGAAAATCCTTTTTTTACTCTTTATTTTTTTTCAGCACTCTGGCACAGGCCATTTGGCTTTTGAGACCCACCATGCTCCAGTAATGGCAGAAACCAGGTGATTTAGCAGCTGCTGTGTTCACGGTGACTTCCCATCTAAGAGATCATTTTATGAACTATTCTAAAAGAAGAGCCCAAGTAAAACATAGGAGTTTTTGTAATCAGATGCAACAGATATTTATCACAGCGGATTATACAGAGACTGGGACATATGCCCATATCCTTGTAATCTGTCCTCCCAGGTGTTTTACTTTCTCATCCAATGGGATATTTCTATGCAATAAACCTTCCTTCTCTTTTCGTGCATAATTTTCTGTAAGCTGAGCTACTTTCTAAAGAATCACACTGGAAGCTCTGGCTCCATATATGTATCTCTGTGTGGCATATAACACAGTTTAATAGACTAGCCTATATAGTAACCTAAGAGACAATGAAATAGATCACTTCAGCAATGATGATAGCCAGCACAATTAATATCACATCAAGCATGATTTAAGATCAAAAATTTGCAAGACAGATGCTTTCTCAGACAAGCAAGGTCATTTTATTGCTCAAAAATCTGCATGTTTCTAGATTGCTCCCACCACTGGGTTGGAAATATATTATTATGATGAAAAAAAGATCATTTTCAACTGTGATTCTCCCTTTCATCAACTGAAGCTTCTTGTCATTTTTTTTTAAGTTAGCTAACTGTTGAAACAAATAAATCCATAAGACTGCAATTTTCTATTAATCTTATGAGTTTGTCAAGACAAACATTCTATACATATTTTAAAACAGGGTAGCTTTCTGTATTTATTCAAATGAGCTGGTAAATTGACCGTAGCACAGGACAAGGTTTTCTTTTTAAGGGAGCCTCTACACCTAAGTAGTTTACTCTCCAATCCCTGGACCATGTTTGAGGCTCAGGTGACTGGACCTGCTGTCAGGCATGCAAGAACTTTAGTTTAATCAGGCATAAGAGTCAAAAGAACAGGGATCTTTGTATTTGCTGTTCAACATTTGTCTTAATTACAGGTGAAGGACCTAACAAGTGTTAAGTCCACAGGAAAAAAGAACAAGAAAAAAGCTGGGACAGTTGGAGGGGAACAAGAGAATGAATGCATAAAACCTCAAAATTTGTATTAATGAAGAAATTTTCTGAGTACAACTGGGAAGACTTAAGTGTATAAGCAGACTGTGTACGCCTGTTAACAGCCAGATTCACATTAGTTCACAGTACACCAGTCATTTGTATCTAGGCTGAAAAATGTTTCCTTCTGAGCTCAGATAAGATAGGTAAAAACATTTTATGTTGTATGTAAATGCAAGTTAAAGGGTACACTAAAATGTAACCTTTAAACTTCACAATGTAACAGCATATCACTTCCTGTTCAGAGATAGCACTCCAACATCAATTAATCATGGCTAAGCCGAACAAATGGTCAACATTCTTAATTAGTGTTGATGCATTCTCCTCTGTGCCCTCATCTGTCACGAAGACTGTTTAAAAATCTGAGTTATTAGCCTTTATTGAGAAGTGGATCTGGTTAAAATCTCTAAGAATAGAAATCATTCTTCCATCCACTATACACTGGTACCTGATAATTCCTACCCCCTATGTAAGCTATAGATAACCACTGCCCTAAGACCATCTTGGTAGCTATAAATCAAAATGAGTGCAGCTCCTATGCAACCCGGGTTAATTTTTGTTTACAATATATCCACTGAAAACGTTGGTATGACACTTGAGGAGTCTGCTTATAGATTAGTGCAGAGGAAAATATATAAAGTAGTCAAGGTAGAAAGGAAAGAAACACATCAGTCATTCAAAACAGTAAAACCTCTTAATTCACAGTGACGACTAGAAGATCCACTGCAATTACTGAACTTTGTCAATATGAAATTTAAGCAAAGCCTAAGTGCACAAAACACAATTCATTCACTTGATAACTATAGTTTAATTTTTATTAGAAAATGTAAGTCAAAGTATTTGACAACAACGTATCTATGAAAGTTTTAAATTACTGCACTGAAATTCAAAAACATTTATTTGAACTTAAAAGTAATGTTTGCTCCCTTATTTCTTGTGCAAATTAAGTGGCATTAGCAACACAAAAACAAACACACTTCCAATATACTTCATATATAAATAAGATTAAAATATCACAAAGCAAGTTACAAGGAAAGTCCAAGTTTAGATTTAACACCAACTGTGCATTTTAGGATTATTACAGAATCAGAATGTTAGGGGTTGCAACGGACCTCTGGAGATTATCTAGTCCAACCACCTGCTAGAGCAGGATCCCCTAGAGCAGATCACACATTATTTTCATCTAGTAGAATTAATATGTACAGTTTTCTATATTTTATTGTGAAAAAAACTATTTTTCATTGTTTTCTTTTAAGCTTCTTTTTTGTTTTTTAGAAACTAGGGCTTTATTCCTATTTCTGAAGCACTACAGCAGATATACCAGGCACATTTACCCAAAAAGGAAAAATACCCATTTCTTTCAGATAGTATTAATAAGTGAAAATGGTCAAATGAGAGTGTAAGCCCAAGCTAAGGGCTTAAAAGAGCAGCACTAAATTTAAATCAAGGTTTTGAAATGGATGGTTTCAGCTGGGCTTCCAGATTCCCATCTAGGTATCTAGACACTGGTCCAATGCTTTCCAGTTGCTATGAATGAAAATAACTGCATTCTTGGCATTTTTAAAAAACTTTTATCAGAAGGAAAATTGTTAGAATAACTTGCTAGATATTTTCCTAAAAGACATGTATAGATAAAAAAAAAAGTGCAATCATAAGACAGAAACTAATGATTTAAAATATTTCTCCTCTAAAATGCATAAGGTCAAATAAGTCCATCAACTCATTGAATGGCTTTTCTTGGCTTTAAAACCAATCCTCTTTCTTGCATTGTGTATGTGTCTTCTCACTTACTGAGTAAAGTTGAGCTATTCTGAACACAGTGACTCCACCTGAAGAACTTGATAGTACTGGTAGCTTTATCCTTTCATAATATGCAAGAGTCCACACCATGGTTTTATAGAAACACTTACCTTGACTTCTATTTATGTAACAATAGGAGCCTGACTACAGTCACCTCCCACAGGCCACTACAGTACTGGGGTGGAAGCCCTACTGGATATTTTTCTATTACAGAACTCATAAAAGCAATACAGTTCTAAAAGCTTAATTTCTGTAATGCTAAAATTAAGAAAAAAAAAAAGCATATAAAAAAGAAAAGCCTCTGTAATTGACATGTGCAACAACAAGGAACATCCTCAGGATCACCTTAAAGCAAGTTTGTTTTTTTCTTTATACACAACTTCTGAAGGAAAACAAAGTAGCAAGCAATCTGCTCCTTCACCTGCTATTTTCATAAAATGAAAGTCCTTTCACTAGCCAGTGTCAGTCTTTACCTGGAAACTCACTTATGAAATCATATTCTATTTGCAGATGCTCCCAAGGAATACTTGGATTTTACAGAACAGCAAACATGCATATGAGAAAAATGGATATACTTAAGGTATATAACAAAAAGAAAACCCCTTCAAATGGAAACCAGTGTCTAATTTTCTACCTCTGTGGTGTTGTTACAGCAAAAGAACATTATTTATTCTATGTTACAGTGTATCTTACTGTAAATACTTCATAAGATTTGCAGAAGTCCAGCTAAGAAGTCCAATCTTGAGGCAAAATATAAATCAGTGAAAAATACTTCTCATTTGAATTTGAACAGAATCTGTATTACTGACTCTGGTTTGCTAGAGTACAACACTGTCTATGTTACACTTTCAGAAGTGCTATTTACATTGTAACTCTAAGAGCTTCTCTGTTTTCTGCCCAGAAAATAAGTAGTCTTTCATAATTAATATAATAAAGTGTTCCAACACCACAGTAGAAATGCTACAGTTAATGGTTCTGAATAAAAGTATTGCCTCTCTATTGTTTTTGAATGCTTTTAAACAATATTAACGTGCTGGGTGAGGCCTTTTCTCAAGTTTGTTCATGATACGGATATTGTGACACGGACAAGAATTATTTGGAAAATAAAAAAAATAATCTTTTTTGTTGTTCAAAAAGTATCTTTACATAGTTTCAAAATTCTGTATCTGTTTTCACCACTTTGTTTCTAAAATGGCTTTATGCTGCTTTTTTAATTTCCATTTTAAAAAAGAGTAAGAGAGCCAGGCTCAAGGCCTCTGATATGCTAGCAAGGATGCTTCTGTAATATTTCTTAGCTGGAAATGGAGGAATTTGAAATCCATCTAATTAGGAAACTAACTAGGTGATTATTATTTAATGCAGCATATTTTGCTGGTCAGAAAAAAAACACTATCATACTTGCATGATCAAAAAGAGGACAGGTCAAAAAAATCCCAGAACAAGAGGAAGTAATCTCATGTGCAAGACTACAGATGGCATGAAAAAAAGTAACTCTAAACATTATTGCTACCGTGTAGTGCAGCTATTCTAAACAATACATGCCAGTAGTTAATTTAGCAGTTTCATGACATACAGAACTCTGAAATATACCTGGTTTTAGATCCATTCTAGATCTAGCTCTCCATTCTAGATGCATGCCATGGCTATTCAATTCAAACATGGGTGAGAGACATCTCTCTGCTCCTGTGTGCTGCTCTCCAAGTAAGAAAACAGGCAGAGAGGCTGCAGGCTAGGCAAAGCATGGTGCAGCAAGTCCCTCCACCTACTTGCCCAAAGCCAGAATACTGAGGTATGTCCAAATATGTCATCTCTACACAGCAACAACACACAAGACCGTATTTAGCTTCTTTCTAGATATATGCCATGTGCCATTTCTTCAATAGAGAGCAACATGCAGAGTACTTTCATAAATATTTAAGTATGAATAACTTACTTTTATTCCCAACCAAGGCCATAAGTGGCTGTGTTTCTGAGTCTTCATTCACTTTTTTTACCACATTATACCAGTCTTCTAAGTTTTCAAAGCTCTGGCCGTTGGTAATATCATAAACCAAGAGAACACCCTAAATAAAAAGATGCATTTTCAATGTTACAGGTTGCAAAAATATTTGCCCATGGTAAAATTTAAATCAGTCTAAATTACTATTATCATAAAATAAAGCATTAACAAATAATGACATTGTATATTTTGAGGAATAATTAAAGGGATTATAAGATTCTGTAATAAACACATTTTGTTAACAATATTGCTCCTGCATTCCATGTTTTACAAATTGAGATGCTAACAGAACCACAAGGGTAGAAAAAAAAGGCAATTCAGTTAAAAGCACAATTAGTTATATTAGAAATATTCCAAACTGCATATGCTTTACGAAAAACCCAAGAAGCACTTCACACTAATAGTAAGATAAAAATCACACCAGACAGGGACTTTTGTTTTAGTTAATATTATTTGTAGTTTCATTGTTCTGTTTCTGGAAAAAAAAAGAAAAAAACAACAAGCAGTTCCATTGAACATTTCTGCACATCATCTCACTGTCATGTCTCTCTGCTCTCCTTTGGGCAGAAAGGCCACATCACTTCATTCACTAATGTAGAAGACAAGCAAGAAGTACCGGCAAGTTTGAAACTTCCAAAGGAGAAACCAAAAATGTGGTTATAAGTCAAAAAGAAGGGAAGCCTAAATATTTCAGAGGCTTTGTGCAAGGGTACAAGTAATAAATACTTAAAACACACATTACCAAGGATTCCTCAGAGCTAATATCCAATATTATAAAACACAGCCTATTAAGAGCCAAAATGTCCACCTTTTTCACTCCATAATTGTAGGGTCAGCTCTCACAAATCATTCTGCTCTCAGCCATTGAGTCTTCTGCTCCTGCTTTTCACTACACTCAAATAAAGTATGAGGAATAAAGCCAGAATTTACTTCTGTTGCACTTGTTCTCATGGAGTTCACATCTGGAAAAAAAAAATCCCTGCAACTGCACACTGTTCCTCACATTGCATTTCCACACACATTCTAAAAAAAAAAACACACCAAAACCAACACAATACATACAAAAATAGCTGGTTTCATGACCCACTGGCAATAAAAAAGATTTTTTCAAGTGAAGATTTCAGGCATTTGTCTGGGCCCAAGTTCACTTGATAGTTTCATAACGTGTGTCTCAGTTCACAAAACAGCACACTTATGAAACTAACTCCATGGAAGACAACAACCTGGTGGAGACTGCAAAATTATTTGAGAATAATTTAGATTATATGAGGAGAAACAATCAAAAAATAATAAGATGCAACATAGTAAGTGCCATGACAAGTTCAAAGGAAGCAATAATCAACTGCACAATCAGAAACATCTGGCTTTGTAGCAGGTTCTATACAATAGAATCAAGGAGTTACAGTAGATCATAGTTGAACATATCAAGCTTATTTCATAGCAAAAAAGGCAACTGTCACACTGGCATGAAACATTCCAGGTGAAATAATGTGTCCAGCTTTGGACATTCAGTGTTAAGAAAGGGGTAGAATATAAGAGACCAGTAACAGTATCAGCTGTTTAGAAACCATGACTGACATCAGAAGATTGAAGCCTACCTACATCTTTGGAAGAAAGAGTTCTCACAGTAGATTTACTGTGAAAAAAACAAAACAAACTAAATGAAGTTTCAATTAGAACTTACCTAACTTGTCTTTAATCTCCTTCTCCATGATCTAAAACATAGCCTCTAAAGCATATTCTCAACTGTGTTTTTTTTTAATCTTGTCAATATTTGCTACACTTAAGAAACAAACATGGCAGATACAACATCTTAGAGAAAAAAAAAAAAAAAAAACACAACCACACACCACCAAAAGCAGTATGGCATCCAGGTCAGAACAAATACTTCTTGCTTAGATTTTTTCCAACAGCGCTCTGTGAGCAGCTTAGTATGATGTAGATAATTAACGTAGAACTAGTCATAACTCCATAGCTAAAGTTTATTTCAAGTTTCTTTTATTTAACATAGAAACCCTATCACTGCTTTGACAAAAGCACATCACAAAGCACTCCATACAGTACCTGGAGTCCAGCCTGAGTAGATAGTATAGAACCTGTTATTTCCCTTTTTGCATAAGGAATTAAGGTAGAATATTAATACTGGCCTTTTTACACAAAAGTAGCACGTTTCCCTGCCATAAAAAATATTAGAAATTAATGGAAGACAACATGATAATTCTCTAGTCACCTGAAACGTGGTAAATAGACCCTGTTTGCATAATTGCCCCCTAGTAAGAGAGATATTTTGCCTACATTAGTGCATACATGAGCACTTTCTGTTTCAGCATTACATTTTCAGAAATAGTGCAGAAATTATTTGCTGGTCTCAGGAGAAATGAGGCTGCAGTACTCCTTCTACTAACAAGACAACTCATGAGGTAGCATATGCCAGCTCTTAAAGATACTTTAAATTAGATGTGTGTATAGGGGCAGTAATTGCAGCTAAGAGATGGGGACAGCTCTCAAATATTTATCACAAAAACAGCAGCAGTACTATTAGACAGCAGAACTGCTGTTATAGTAGTGTTGCAACCAGGCAATATAGTCACACTAGATAATCAACATTTAAAAGATGTCAAGTTTATGCCAAGATTTGTCACAATAAAAGAAAGCTACAGAAAATGCTAATTAAAACCGTATGTTTCCTTCTTCAGGCTTATCCTCAGCTGCCCTCACCCTTTAACTGATTTTAGTATGAATGAACTAAATTAACTTTCAAATGTTCATTAATAGTCATTTAATGTCAGATCAAAAATCTTATTTTTTCTAGCCACAGAATATTAATTTTAGCAAAGAGTAGCTTCCATTATGATATCTTGCACATCTGCAGAAATGCTATTTTTACAGGTGAAAACAGTTTACAGTCTACATATTCTTAACCACTGTTGTCTTTGCTGATACTGAGGTTATGGTCACTCAAAATATATGTGACCGAGCTGCCATAATTGAATGAGTTACTGTCTATCAGCTCAGCTGTGGGAACTGATTGCTCTTGGCCTCTCTAAATGCTGAGATACATGTGTCAATCCTCATCTGCACTGACAGAAAGCTGTTTATTAGTACCTTTCATTTATAAAGATCAAAGAGCTCTTTCCTCCCTTCACCTCCACTTGCAGGGTTCTTCTGACCCACCAGTGACATTCACCTACCAAGACAGGATGTGGCAACCATAGTGTTCTGGATGAGCATCACCAGAGAAAAAACAAGGGCAGGGAGGAAAGCAACTGCTTCAAGACAGCAGATGAACTGCAGTTTCTCCAATTGCAGCCATGCAAGTAAATGAAGTAGGTTCTCATCTTCAAATCTGGCACTCTTATTTTAAAACATGGCACAATAAATCAGGGACTTCAGTCAAAAAAAAAGACACCTTAACAGTAACTTAACCAAAAGATCTCTTATAGAAAATTGCTTCAGGTCTCATTGAAAAAGAAGGAAATATCTAGTGACAGTGTTTTCAGCAAGGTATAGATGGATGCCCCACTTGCTCCCCCAGCATCCTGATCAAATTTCAACCAAAATCAAGGGAACTGTAGACTTGCTATTAATATAAACTTTTAAGTTACTATAGATTCTCAAAACTTCCAGCTGGTCTTAGTATCTTCTAAGTAGGTCTGAATATCATACAGTTGGATTTCTGAGCAGAAAATCAGGAATTCAGCCACCTGTGTTTTCTGAATCTCACAATGATCAACCAGAGGAAGCTTACCAAGGCTATGGGTATCAACAAATACTGGATAAAAGCACTGTAGGCATGCTGCAAGATATTCTATACATGTACTTTAAATCTGAATTTAGATTTGGAGAACACATACAGATGAATGCAGTTTCTGCCACTAGTCAAGATCATCTACTCTATGTGTAAGTGTACAGCTTGCATACTTTACAAACAAGATGCTCAAAATCCCAGTTGCACCACACACACAAGTGCAACACACCATAGGTACACACACTTATTTTTCTAGCAACTTTTTCTAGAATTGTTCCAATATTTTAAAGGCTTCCTTGTACCAGTGAACCCAAAACTGAACATGGTACTCCAAATGTAGCCTCAAGAACATCAGAGAGGGCGATAGTCACTTTTCTTGATGTACCTACTTCATTCTTACTAATGCAGTCCAGACTTCAGTTAGCATTCATCATTGCAAGTGTGCACTGCTGACTCCCATTCAACTATGTTTGAGGTTTTTTTCCAGTAGGACCCTCACCCTCTTTTCTCCAAAGCCATTTTGCAGAATGACTAAGGTTGGAAGGGACGTCCAGAGGTTGTTTGGTCCTACAAACCTGTTCAAGCAGTGTCACCTAGAGCCAGCTGCCCAGGACCACATCAAGATGACTTCTGAATATCTCTGAGAATGGAGACTCCACAAAGTCTCTGGACATCCTGTGCCAGTGCTGGATCACCCTCTCAGAGAAAAAGTGTTTCCTGATGTGCAGAAAGAACTTCCCGTGTTTCAGTTTTTGCCCATTGTCTCTTGTACTGTTACTGGGCATCAGTGAAAAGAGCCTGGCCCTGTCTTCTTTACATCCACCCTTCAAGTATTTATATACATTGATAAAATTCCCGAGCCTTTTTTTTGTCCAGGTTGAGCGGTGCCAACTCTCTCATAGAGAGAATTGCCTGTCCTCATAGAAGAGATGCTCCAGTCCATTAATCAGCTTTATGGCCTTCACTGGACACTCTCCAGTTGATTCTTCAACAATTAATTCCCACCCTGCATAAGGTCCTTCTGTCCCAGGTGCAGGACTTTGCATTTGTCTTCAGTGAACTTCACAAGAATTTTGCTCATCCTTATTTCTCTCAAAAGCACCCCCACCCTCCAGTATATTGACCATTCCTTCACAATTTGGTGTAATTCGCAAACTTAAAATGTTTTGTTCCACCGATTAATAACAGGCATGACCCCAGTACCAACCCCCAAGGAATATGAGAACTTCCCAGAGAAGATGTGAATGTCTCTGGAAGTATACAAGGCCAACCTGGGCAGGACTTTGAGCAACATGGGCCAGTGGCAGTTGTTCCCACCCAGGCAGACAGGGTTTGGAACTAGATGATCTTTAATGTCCCTTCACCCAAATCACTCTATGATTCAATTCTATAACTTATAACCAGGCACCAGTAAGAGACTGTGTGGACCATCTCCCTTTAACTCCAACTGTCCATTTGCTTTTTCTGTTGCCTTATGGTTCACCCATCAAGTCTGTAGCTCTACATTTTGCCTGTAACAATATTATAGGAAGTTATCTCAAAGGCCCAACTGAAGACAAGGTAAATGATATCCACTGCTCTCCTCTCCACAGAGGCTATCCTCTAACCACAGAAGGCAATCAAGTTGGTTGAGCACAATTTACCCTTGTTAATTCCATGTTTGCTCTTCTCAGTTACTTTCTTGCTGCTTTTCTGTGCATTCACGAGAATTTTGAAGTACTTAAAAGGATTTCTCTTTCTAAATAATCCTATTTGTTCTACTTTATCTTCTCTTCTTCTTCTACAAAGCTACAGATGATTCAACACAAAATAAGCTTCTGCCTAGAAATACAATGAAAGCACTGCCTTTCCAAATTATTCGTGGTGTTTCAAGAACAGATGAAAATAAAGATCATTTTATCCTTCTTTAACAGGTGCTGTTACAAAGCTAATACAAAAGTATATTAGTTACAAGTCAGCTTTGATAATAAGAAGCTTATTACAGATATTAGCACCACATGCCAACAATGGTACAGAGAACAGCCATTAGTTCATAAAAAAATTTGAGTTACAATGAGGGTTGGGGAGGATTGAATGGGATGAGACTGGATGTAGGGTTTTTTGTTAATGTGCACAGAAAGACTAAAAATTTAACTTCTTTAACTTTAGCATACTGCTATCCACTTTTTCACTACTTTGGGACACTGGTATTAGCTTTTTGACTTGCTCTTGCTGATAAGAAACTCCTACGTTTATAACCAAATTCAATACAGAAAAAAAAAAAAACAGTTATAACCTTTTATTTCCTTCATTGAGTTTACTTTGAGCATATGGCAACAATTTGTGATTAATCACATTCCCTCTGTCATGGAAGTCACTTTCTCCTGTTGTTCAGCAGATCTTTCAGCAAAAAAATGTAATTAAAAAATAATACTATAAAACACATGCAACAACTAATAATGTTTTTTATATTTTTGAAAGTGGCAAAAGGTTAAATTGACAAATTTGTCTTTATCTTATTAACTAATAAACCCTAATCTCTTTATTAGCCATTCCTGTGCTGCACTTAATTAATACTAAGTTTCTGTCCAACAGAAGTTTTAGGATTCCATTTTTACATTGCTTAAAGTATTGATGGAAACATAGGTGCATTTGTTTTCTTCTGAGATAAATAAAACCTTGCATAATAAAATGTTATGCCTATTTTTCTTATTACAAACTCCATACTAAATAACAGAATACATTTTAGGATCACTCACGTTAAAGAAGTTTGGCATGTAGTACATCCTGCTAAATCATCTCATAACTCAAGATTCTATTAAAATATTTAGCTCTTACTTAATCCTACCATTCACTCTAACTTGCGTAGTTAACCTCCAGATAAAATTAATTTTCGTTGGATAAGAGTTCTGCAAAAATATTTAGCTACCTAGTTGCCTTCTTTTGTTTGCCCTCTTATAACCCCAGTTGCATGCATGAGTTTAATGGTACAGGATTGCTCTTAATTTCCTCCTTCAACTTTTTTCCCCAGGAGGCATCTGTTCTAAAAGCAGCCACTATATCTACCATGTGGATATCCACATAGCTTTTACATTTACTATGATTGCTTTTCTTAACTTGAGATACAAAGCCTGGAAACATACATCTGTTCTTGAGAATTACTCAGATCTACAAATGCACACCCTTGCTTTATTTTTTAAGTCAGCTCAAAAAAATTAACTACAAACCAAAGGTAGACTTGTATATTAATATCAATTAGGCTGAGAGCCAACATTTTCCAGATATACAAAATAACAATTAGTAAGATATATGCAATTTTAAGAGCAAAGTTTCAGTGAATTTTACGTAATTACTATCAATAAAATTATCATAATTTATACTGTACCTGAGCTCCATAAATATATTTATCCAGCATTTTGCCTCCTATTGTTTGCCCCCCTACATCCCACACTTGAAGAGTAACATTCAAATTTCCTGAAAAAGAAAATTATACAGATATTGTATATCCTGGAAAACTTCAATACAAATAAAATTACAGGTATATTAGCACAGCAGTTAACAGAGTTCTAGCATACCAAGAGCAATAGCTTTTTACAAATATACAATAAATAGTGACTAAACTTCAACAGAAAGATGGCTCTATCATTTGGAAAAAAGTAACTTGTGCCCAGGCGAGTCAACAAGATGCAGTAAAGCTATAGTTAGTTATTAACATACTTAATATGAACAAAAAAGAAATGGAACTGCAGAAAGTATAACATTCCTGACTAGAAATAATATAACATACTTCACTGAAAAAACACATAAAACTTTACAGAGAAAGTTCTATAGCACAGTACTTGGAACTGAAAAGTAACAATTAATTCCAACTTAACCACACTACTTCATGCTCTATGTCCCTTCTTCTCTGCCCCCTCCAAATTTTCTTTACAAATCTAGAAGCAAGGAGATCTGCACAGTAACTGCATTTTGGTAGTGATGCCCTTAGTACTATAAAGAATTATAAAGCTGATGGATTAAAAAACGGAAATACTGACACACATCTAAGTTGCGAATGCAAGCTATGATTGTTTCCTCCACCCACTATCCCAAAGCAGACAACTAAATTGGACACAATTTACTAAATTTTATCTTTGAAGAATCTACACCAATAACAGATCTTCCTTTCTATCCTAAACAGCCTTTAATCTATGCTGAAACTGTTAAGATATTTTTGAAAGCAAAGTAACAAAAAAAATCTGTGTAAAACCAGAATATTTGATATCCTACAAGTCATACATAACTGAGAAACCCACAGACTAAACATACACACAGCAGTGTATGTCACCACATGCATACAAACATATTAATGTATCATTTGGGTCACTTTGCACGGTGAGAACCATTTTCAAAACAGTTTTGATCACCAAACTCTAATACAGTAAATAAAGTATGAATATTTTTCTAACCTACATGCAACTTACATGACTTATATGTTAATAACAATTCTGCATACCCACAAATAGTCATAACTGTCTATTAATTTTACTCCTAGATTTAAAAAAAAATTGCAACAAATTCCACAACAATTGACAGTGAAGTAAAAAAGTACACAATATTTTTGGCTGCTAAAATACACTCTTAAATCAAATACTTTATGTTATTTACAAGCTTATTTTACACAATGTGATCTATTCAGTTATCAGTTATAACACACTCAAACTAGTAATGCAAGTGAGTGTGCTCCATAGAACTATATCCCAACACTCAGTGAATATAAACAGCAAATTAGAACTATATAGCTGAATACATGCCACTTGTGGTACTAAATATACCACATCATATTTTATGATGTATCTTGCTTTAATCTGGTTAAATGTACAGATTTCCCAAAGTGCTGCTCTGGTCTCAAACATACAGAGATGAATGTGAGACAAACTATTCATAGCACTTTCAAGCTACGCAGATTTTTATCTAATACTAAGATTAAGAATTTCAACATGAAGCTTAGTAAATACATCATAAACACTCCAGTTCAATAAAGGCAACTTTTCATAAGATAAAAAGTTTATCTGCTTTTACAGTGCACGTACTATATATTAATGAATTATTTTTGGAGCTTAGAACATAAGTGACTACAAACAATGCAGGAAAATCTTCCATAAAGCATCTGGCTTGGATGAACTGGTGAATCCATAATCTGAAATGACTATGCATCCCCAGTAGGTATATAAAATAAACAAGCTCAAAAGCTCATGATGTTGCAGTGCTCTAGCCCTCCCCTGGTTGTATGCATTCTACTGGAAATTTACCATGCCTTTCATGCCAGCTATTTGGAAAAAAAAAAAACAAAACACGACCTTCTAAATATTATCACTTTCAAACCTTTGAATTTTCAGATGCTTAATACTGTGTTCAAATGCTTTAAAAAGTCTCTACGTTCATTTTTCCTAGGAGTAGGAATCATGCACAACACACAAGGCTTGGTATCTGAATGACTGAAATCATCTGAGAAACTTCAATGCAGGAAGCTTAAATGGTCTAACAGTGACTGTCCAACTTAAAAAATCTACTATTATGAATTACTTAGTCTCCACTAACAAAAGAAAAAAGAAACTTGGGGAAAAAAGTTGGAATGTTAATTTAAGGTGAAGCAATTCTTAATTAAGACTTCAATAACTACTGAAATTCATGCAGACCACTACAAAATGCCTCATTTTCGCTTCGTTTTCAATTAGGTCATGTAATATTTGCTTTGTGCTCAGATTTATTTTGTGGGAGAAGGAAGAATGTTAGAATTATTATGACAGAAGAAAAAACTCCAGACAATTTGCCTAGCAAATTCTTAAAATTATGAGCTGTGATAGTAGCACATGAAGTTTTCTGCAGAGAGTTTGAAATCTTCTATATTTTTCATAGATTTAAGAGGCACATACAAACTGGAGAAAGACAACAAAATAAAAAGAAGCCACAAATAATAAGGCAGTCCTTAGAAACAAGGTTAATATATGAATAAAAATAACTGAAGGACCCCATAAAAATAGTATGCAATACACAGAACTGCTTTACTCTGTAGAAAACACAAGTGTGGAGTTAAAAAAACAGCTAACACAGTGCAAGTATCTAGATTGCTTCTGCTATACACTGAAGCCACTGGGCTGATTCAGTAGTGATCCTGCAGAAGCACACTTGGTGCATTGGTTAACCTTACTTAAAGTGCTTCAACCAAGACAGGATTAAAAACATGAGTCTGTCACTTTTTGCACTGATGACTTTAAAAAAAAGTCTTTTAACAGAAGAATCCTGTTTACTGGACTGCACCCACAACCCCTTCTAAAAGTATTCACCTATGGCTCTTAAGAATCTCTATCAGCAGACCCTCTGGCTAACAGATACACTATTTAACCATCAGAGTCCACATCATGGTTGCATCCAGACTATACAAGATACTGCATCAATAAATATACTGAAATTGCTTTGCATTTGAAAAAATATCTCTAACAAACTGCATTAAGAGAATGTCAAGTCATTCAAAATTAATCAAAAGATTTACTATTTGTATTAAACCACATTGTTATACCATATAAAAGATTTATTTATTTCATGGCAAACCTGCATTAGTTACTAAAACTAGACATAAAAACACCTTTTATTTTAAAGAAGCCAAAACCCCCAGTAAAACAGTAGTTTACTTTACAAGCTAAAATGCATTTCTAATGTGACCTAATGTAAAGTTCTGTGCAATTCTGGAAATCAGTAATTTTAACTTCTGAAATCTTTGCTTACGTTTTAAGAAGGAAAACAAAGTCAAATACTGAACTATAGTTATTCATCAATCCTCCTACTAAATAAGAGAAATTGAGGCTTTTTTCCTAAGCATATACACTTTATCATTTCTGTGCAGCAGTATGAATTAACTTTTCAGGTTAACATAGCAGCTCTGCAAACCCAGAACTAATCAAGAAATTAGAAAAAAACAGTTATTTAAATAATGTTTCCCATTCTAGTATTTAGAAATTTTACCTCCCTCCCTGTTCTTCTTCCTTCCCTCTCCCACCCCACGACCAGTTCACCTTACCCACAAAACATATAAATCCATATAGCACATATATATATGCATAGGCAAAAACAGAATGACAAATTACAGAGAAATGCTTCTTCCTGAATATGAATATATTCCACAAATGTTACTATTCTGTTAGTGACAAATGAGGAAATTAGATATACAGACTTTGTTTCTGGTTTGGTGCTATTTTAACCTACATTCTGATTTTATTACAAAATAAACTAGAAGTAAAATATGAATGAATGAATAGTTGATAATTTTCCAACTTTTCCACTCAACAAGGATATTTAGAACCCCAGTCATGTACTAATACCTTCTGCATGCTTAACAACTGGAAAAAAAACTTGCAAAATACAAGTTCTCAGCATGCACACTGCATGATTTGTGTACACATTCCACTTGCAAGCATTGCTGTAAAATATTATGCACACTGGTATTTTTAGAGGCATGAACAGGACAATAAAAAAATTATTCTCTTGATTTTATGGAGAAATAAGCACTAACATTTGGTACTTTATCACTCAGCAGACACTAAAATAAAGTACAGCAAAATGGTCAAACCAAAATACTGAATGCAGGAATAGTCTGAAAAGATTATTCTGTTTCACTTAAAAAAATACAGAAACATATTAAAGAAATTATTTGCAATATAATTTAAAAAAAATAAGTTAAGAGAACTGTACATACTCTCTTATAACGTCAGATTATAGCCAAAATGCTTAATTTCTCGGTTTGCTTCCTTCCCTCTTTGTCACACGGAAAAAAGGCAGAACTACAGAATTTGCAACAACTTTGCCAAATCTCACTACAACTTTTCATAATTACATATACTTTTTCTAACTTCTCCTGATTTCTGAAACCAGACAAAAATGCATTTAATTAAATATTTTCATACTTGGAAATGGAGCAACCGCAAGTCAATGAAAATATTTATTTCAAACCCCCAATGGTTCGGAAACAAACTTCTACCAGGAGCAATTCTTTTTTTCATTATTTCTTTGCATTTTCCATGCAGTGTGCTGCAACTGGCATCTAAATAGCTTCTTTGCCATCGTGAAGTGAAACATCTTGAATGCTCAAACTGTATTTTTATGAGTGCCGAGGGACCCTAAATTTTAGTGGTCTATTAAATGCCAGCAATTTCATGCTGCCTTGCATAAAACAGCATTCACATATTAGAGCACTGCAATTCCATAGCTGCATTATGCTTCTTTCACACAACTCAAATACAAGTTGTATATTTCATGTTTTAAAAAAAAGTTTCTTTCAAAACACATGTATGTTTCCAAATAATATATTTAACATTTCATTTCATTGTTGTATGTTACACTATCCACATAGTCAGTGAGTACACTCAAGTAGAGATAAACAGAAATCATGAACATTGATAGCATTCCTTTAATTTGAATTGTGTTTTACTTAAAGAGCTAAGTTGCAAATGCACAACCCTTAGTCACCTGGCAAGAACATGCTAACAGAATTTTCTCTGAATAACCTAATTTACTTTGCCATAAAAGGGACTGTACTAAGCTTATTTAGCATACATTACTTTGAAGAATCTGCTTCTGCAAGTCTTACTGCTGCCCAGCCTCTCATGGTTCATTCCAATTCCCTTACCTGGCAAAAGTATCCTTTTCAAGAAGAAGTCCAGTCCTATGGTTTGTTTGTACTGTTTTCCAAAACTCTCTTGGGCAAAACGTGTGGCTAAGGATGTCTAAAACAGAACAATAGCAAATTAAGTTGTCATTTTACACAGCAATGTTAAACCAGAAATATGAAATACAGTTCTGCAATTTTAAGTCAAAGCATGCTGGCAGTGTTCATGGATCTGGATTGACAAGCATTCCAGACAACTTCAACATAAAACAGGAGGCGGCAAATGCTACTAATTTATGCAAGAAGCCAGGCGCATAGTTCCTTTGCATGTCAAAGATTCTGCGATACTCATATTACAAAATATTACACAGATTTGAATGAGGTATCGTTAGTACACTCAAATTGACACTAATCTAAGTGACACTAACCATAACTGAAGAGCTTATTATTTTTTAAAATAATTCCTTTCCAAAATAAGAGTCCTTCCCTGATGCAGAAAACCATGATCCTAGAACAACCTTCTGGAAGGGAACTGAGATCTGCACCATGCAACTCCCACAGGGCTCATAAGTGTCGCAGGATTCCTGACAGTATGTATCAAAGTTTCAGGATCAGGGATTATATTAATTCAAAGACAGGTACGTGTACGTGTACTCTTGTACACATTACTCTTGTTAAGAATGCAGTTTTGCAGAATCAATCATTCAAGTAGAACTTCCGAAACTTATTTCTTCAATTGACATTTTGTGGATCTATGAAAGTAGACCAACACACTGGTGACCTAATAATCAGCTTGTGCTACATAGTGCTAGAAGTTGACCAACATAAAGCAGTTAACCAACATAAAGTAATTAAGTGAGGCATTTATATTCTTTCACTACCATTATAAGTTCTTCACGAGAGGTAGAAGTAAAAAGGAAAAAAAGTACAATTAAAAAGAATACAAAAGTTTGCATTGTGGAAAAAATTTAAATACTATATTAAAAATTAATGTGACATAGATTAAATACATCCTACATTAAATTAGTGGCATACACTTAAACTCTTGTTGACATGACATGAAAATATAAAAACAAAGTAATTGCAGAAAAAAAAAAAAGAAACAGATCTTTACATATAGGAGGGGAAGCCAAACAACCTCACAAATCCCTTCCACTGTCTGAGAAAACTGGAAATGAGGAAGAAGGAAATGTTTTTGCCAGCCTTCTGTTAATCAAGACCTAAAGAGATGAGTCACACCAATTGTTATTAAAAATTGCTGTTAGAGCACATTTAGTGAAAAACACAATGGCAAAATAACACCAATAGTTCTGAAAAATGAAAATAGTCAAGTTCTATTAATAGAACAGTTATAACCAAGATCTAAATTTTGCTATAACATCAAATCTACACAGGAAGAAAACGTAACTTAGAAAACATAATCACCAGAGCTTCAGCATTAAAGCTCTAGTATGAAAAGGCAAACATTTATTCAACTATTAAATTACCAGTGAAGTAAATAACACATGATTTACGGTTTTCTTGTTTCTATATCACATTGATATTCCTATCACTTTCTCATATATATATATATATATATCAAATTGTATTTTGATATGAGAAGGTATGTTTAGGAAGTAATTCAAAAAATCAACTAGAGACTATGGCAACATAGTTTATTCACTGAACTGAAGCCTTGAGAGGCTAAAAGACAAGCAAATGGGGGAAAAAGCAAGTAAACTAGAAATAGCATTGAGTATGCTTACATATTTGTATCACTGTGGAAAGGGTGAAGACCACAGACAATTAATCTTGAGAAGATTCTTCTGTCTACAGCTATGTGACAGTAATACTAATAACATGCACAAAATAAAATTCAGTACAGATTAGGACTGTTGTACTAAAAAAAAATCAGTAGAACCAATTATTTTAATCACAATAGCTAGCATGTTGAGTTTAAAAAGACATTAATTTTAATCTGTCATGAACTTACAAAACTTCTCAGGAATACACCATGCAGTCTTCTGAAATTTTCTTTTACAAAAAAGTAACCAATACCTAGAGTACAGATTAAAATATCATCTGATTACATCATATTATTCTGTATTCTCTAACATGCTAATTTAGATCCCCATTAAATAAGCAACCACCCCCTTGTTTAAAGGACTCAGTAAAGACTAGCTTTATCACTCTGTAACAATCAATATTCCCTGAAGACTTCTAGGGTTGTTAGTAGAAATAAACAACATACATTCAATTAACAGCCAACCAATAAGAGCAGCAAACAATCAACAGCATGAAATAGTTCTCCTCAACAGTTTTCTTCTACTGCGCTCTTGAATGCAAAGGAATTTACAGAAGAAAATCATTGACTAACTCCTTTTAAAAATTTTTTTCTAATAAATGTTAGAACTCAAGGGAAGGGTTGGATTACCAGACTAGAGGTCCCTGTTTATTCATAGAAAACACTCTTATCCACAAAATACTAAGAACAACAGTTCAAATTTCTCCACAACAGTCAACAGAAAAGTTATGTCAATGCATATTCAAGTACCTCAAGTACCAAATACTCCCTTCAATCCTAGAATCGTTTTCTGCCATGCTTCTCATAAAATATTCTGCATTACAGTTTTGCCTGTAAGGATATGCTGAGTCCAATCTACGTAAAAGATAAGTGAAGTTCAGTAGAACTGTAGCTGTCACAACAAATAACTGATAAATTACTCTTTTTTAAAAAATATTATGGCCCATTCATGAAATTTCAGTCATTAATCTGGAGATTAGGGGCTAGTATGATATAAGGAAGGCCCTGTTCCTTCATATCCCTACTAAGACAACCAGGACACCAACTTTCACAGCAGACTTTCCATTAGACCCAGTCTGGCAGGTTCACATATTTTTCTTAAATACTTAAAAGAAAACATTTATATCATAGATTCATAGAATAGTTTGGCTTGGAAGGGACTTTAAATATCATTTAGTCCCAATCCCTCTACATGAGCAGGGACACGTTCCACTAGATCAGGTTGCTCAAAGCCCTACCCAACCTGGCCTTGAAAACTTCCAGGGAGGTGGCACCCACAGCATCCCTGGGTAACCTATTCCAGTGTTTTACCACTCTCAGAAACATATGCTGTTCCGAAGAGCAATACGCTATTGATGGTTGGTGTTACAAACCCCCTCCTTCAGATTAAAAAAAAGTATTTGGGTACTAACATACAGCAATCAAGACAGCAGTAAAACATAATACATAAAAATTATGGTATTCTAAGTGCAAAATACAATGGGATATTTGGGAAGGTTTGGAAGCCAACAAATATGCAAATCAACCTCAAAGCCTCAAAGGTGAGGCAAGACTTGCTCTATTTTTTTGCTTCTATTTTTCAATGTCAATAACTCACCGTATAAACTGTTGACAAGCTGTTCCTAAACACCTACATAGTGAGTATACAGAACAAAAAATAAAATCAAACAATATTTATGAAATAGTAGTAGACAAGTCAAACAGAACAAGCAATGATAGCCAGCTCTGACTGACACTGACTACTTACCAGGACAACATGGAAACTTAGAGAAAACCCTGCCTTATGTTAATTCTTTGAGTAAAACCATGCAGAAGGAAACTTTCAGAAAGCGATGTCATGGTACTATAGCTGTAAGAAAAACTAAAATCAAAATTGAATGGGATGCAAACATACAGTTCTGAAGCCATGAATTTCTATTCATGTACCAACTTTACCAGCCAACTGAGAATCTACTTCCCAAAAAGGAACATGTATCTATCCCTTTCCTCACTCACTTCTAGAACATCAATGCTGTTCTCCAAGCACAGCAACATTTTCCCCTCAGTCATGTCTACCCCTACCAGCAAGGATTTTGAAACAGATAAAATGAAGAGACCCATCAGGCTAAATAACAAAATGTTTTAACTAGCATAAAACCATGTACTGTCCAACACAAGAGAATGTGTCACTGAGACCAGTCTAACTTAAGGGGGGTGAAGTATTTTGTAAACAAAGGAAGTAGTTCTGTCATCTGAAGATGGTGTCCTTCCACCCCACTCCTAATCACTGATGAAATTTTGTTCCCTGCAAACAGAAAAAAATTACCAAGACTTTTGGACGTTAGACATGTGTCTATGAAGCTAGACCAGCCTGCGCAGGACACCTGATGAAGTTTTCCATCTGCAAGACTAAACAGTGACAATGTTTTTGTCAATTCTGTTGAAGTTTTTGAGCCCATGTGTAACAGCAAGATCCAGAATTGGTGAAATGCTTAAAAACCTGGCATCCTAAAAAAGCCTAAAGCAAGCAGGACACCACTCTGTATTCCAGTCTATATTCTGGCTCCTGCAAGTTCCCACACCAGGTTGAAAATTCACTCTTTAGTTTTCAACATCCATTGTTAAGAGAAGGAAAAGGTAGGATGTTTCTGATACCATACTTGAGCCCCAGCTGCAATAGATAGCAGAAAGACAGAACTGCGCTTGCTTTGTGCCCACCACACGCCTATATTTCAGGACCTTCCATCCCATTAATAGCTCCAAGATTGTTTCCAGGAGCCCAAAACCTTTTTCACCAGCAGGAAATCAGAATTAGTTCTACCTCAAATCAGCAACATTATACACTCTAATGTTAAGCTAATCTGTGCATAGCAGGAGTAGAAATACCTGGATCATCATACTGTTTTTTTTCAACTCATATGATTATTGCTAGCTTATTTTAATGGAAAATCATTTTGGCTTGGGAAAAAGTGGGTTAACTTAAAACCTAGATGCAAGAGGCTGTGTTCCTCCTGTAATTCAAATCAAGAGCCAAATGCTATTAATAATTGCTGTTTCTTTTCATCTCACATTGTCCCCACTTCCGATCTCTTTTCAGATTGTTTTCCTAGTTTGTGTAGTTCATTAAAGTAATTCTCTATTATTACCTTCATACTAATAATCTTGTCTTCCTGAATTTTTCTACAATATATCTTTCCTTATCATCTCCATTTTATTCTAATACTTCTTCAGAGTCTACTCATCTTACTCCTCTCGTTCCTTTCTACCTTTTTACTCCACAAAACAAATGAATAGAAGTACAACATCCCTCCCCAATCTCATGGATAGAACAATTCCAAGCTACTGGAAACACAAAC